GGGGGGCGCAGCATACTTATCAATTTTTGCAGGTTGATAAGTACACTTCTTTTTTTAAAAAAAAAAATCACTTGTGGGATGTAAAGAGAAGTTTCCTCACTAGCATGCATGCAAAGGAACAGTTATTCTTTAAAAAAAGAATGCTTGACCCAAAGTATAGTGGAGTCTTTTCCCTTATACTTCAGTGGGTTTCAGATCATGCTTGCAGCATGACAGACTAGTACTGTTCCCCCACAGGGCCTATCCAAAGATTGCTTTGCTGTAGTGATGTAACTACAGGTACAAGTAGATTTCACCACCACCCCATCCCCCTCCACATGCTTAGCCCGTTAGCTTTTTCTCCACTGAAAATATCCACCCATCATCACCGTTTGTTCTCACTGAGGCCAGCTTATAAAACGAAGAGACACTGTTCCAGGTAAGAAGCGGCAGATCACTTTTGTTCGCTGTTTCTTAAGCAAGTTCTCAGCCAAGACTGACAGACAAGTGCCACAGGTTTGGTTTTTACTGAAGTTTTTTCAAATGCTAACCTTTGGACGGTCTTCTTTTTTCAAGGCCACAGCTTCCAATTTTGCTTCATACTCTGCATGAACTTGGTCTCTCTTCTTCAACACATTCTGGAGAAAGAAAAGGCACAAAGGTTGAAAGCAGATAAGGGCAACTCTCCTTATTGCCCCACCCTGCTAGAGACCTCAGGCTGGATAAGTTGACATGTCACTTGAATCAGAGGTCAGCAACGAACAGCAGATTTTGGTTTTATTTTGTAGGCATTGCAACAGAGACTCTAGACTGAACCATTTAGCTTGGAAGCAGGTGCAAACTAAGATTTGTAATCATTAGAAGTGAGGCTAAAAAAGCCAAGACTCCCAAGTCTTGCAACTAGTTTTCAGTGCAACCTTTGCCAAGATACTTAACTTCTCTATTTATCTGTTGACTCACCTGCAGAAACTGAACTGGAAAAGAAAGGTTAAGTGAGAATTCAATCTTTAAAGCATTAGAAAAATCACTAGGCAACAAGAGAAACAAAGTTATACACAGCTGGCAAGCAATCTTCTTCCTGAAACTGAGCTTCTGCTGGCCAGGTGACAATAGTTTCATGACTTGAAGGAGTGACCTAAAAAGGTCATGCTTTACTTTGTTGTTAGAATGCAAGGGTGGGGGCATGAAAGTTTTGTCCAACGATGGCAAAAAGAGTGCATTTTTGTGCAAGGAATAAAAAATGAACGCAAAAAACCCAAAACAAAACCGCACACACTTTATGACGACTTGGCTAAGCTACTCGGGATTGTTTCTCTAGGTCAGTTAATGAAGACAAGACCACTAGTCTTATGTCATATGTAAAAAAGCCCCAGGATCACCTAACCACAGTCCTATTAAGCACTGGATATCCAGTCACAGATTTACATGCAAGAAGCTACAGCATGATATACGACAGCTTTGCAGATGTAGGTCTGTCTTAAGCTCCCATCTATAAAACACATTAGTTGGAGTTTTGTTTCTGGGGGGTTTTTTTTTTTTTTGTTTACTATATTACTACATTAGTATTAGCAATTGTATGCCAAGACAGTTGCTAAACACGGGCATTAAAGTGCATATTTTGCATGGAGAGGAAAAGTAAGTCCTGGGAGATTTCTTATCCAGAGGATAAGCTCCTTGCTTATTCCTTTGAAAAGCAAGCCTCATGCCCTGCTTTTATAAAGTCACATATCCTGCAATGCAGAGGACCAAGCAACTGGGTCAGGTGAAATCACTGAGAAGCTAACCTAATAATTTTGGCCTCAGTTTTCAGTTTCATAGTTAGTAGGGTTGGAAGGGACCCACGCAGATCATCAAGTCTGACCCCTTGCCATGGCAGGAAAGAGTACTGGTGTCAAACAACCCCAACAAGGTGATTGGCTGGCTCCTACCCTGGGGGTCTTTAAGAGGAGACTAGATAATTGCATTGGCACAGAACATCTACCAAATAAGCAACAGCCTCACTTTAGAAGCCTTGCTCTCATCTAGTTCCATGGAACAAAAGAAATATTTCATAGATTTCCCTGTTCCTGCCCCTTAAGCACCAACTGTATACAGTATTGTGAAAATACCGACAGGCAGTTAAACTGGTTTAAAAAAAAAAGCTACCTGAAAGGTTTCATAAGTGCCTGGGGAAAAAAAAAAAAGGTCAAGTACTATTTTGAACCAGTTCACACTAAACCACTTCAGTGTTGTGTGTGGACAGCAAGTATTCTGTGACAGCCGCCGAGTCAGTTCATCTTCAGACATCCCATGCTGCATTATTCTTTCTTTCCTACCCCAACCCCACTAAAACTGGCCACTGTGCAGCCAGAACTCTAGCCTTCTTATCCCCACCTTTAGGTTTTTGTTGAAACTTAAAAAGATCCCTTGCACTGCTTAGAGAGAGAGAGTCATCTTTCTTAACAGCTGGCTCCATCCTTACTCCCTACTCTACCACAGCTCTTCATGCCCTCCAGATCCTGGGAACCAAAAAAAATGTAGGTCCAAGCACTGATCTCTGCCAGCTCCCCTTCCCCACCCCCCTCCCAACTCTCTGAAAGTCAGGCAAGCACACTGCAGACTAAAAACTTCAGAAGCCTGCAGTACTCTTCTACAGTTACAATTTTGCTTCTTATAAAGAAAAGAGCTTTATGCAAAATGCTGAATGCTTCAAAACTTAGTGGGCACCTCTACATGTGCACTTTTACTGAGTAGTAAATTTAATCTACTGCACAGCAAGCATCACCATCTACATGTACGCAGCAATTCGGCCAGTGAAGACCAATTTACAGCACAATTGGATAGTCCTGTCAGATACTGGGATTAGTTTACTCTGATTCAAAAGTCGCACAGGAGTTTATTCAGTTGCATTAGTTGCACCCAGTTAGAGGGCATGTATCACTATAGATCCAGGCTACTGCTGTTCTTACCATCCCATCAGCCCATTTGTTTTGCCCTGGCAAACCACTTATCCTCCCTACCTGCAGAAGCCTGGGAACAAAACAAATGGAGGTTTAAAGTGAAGTCCTGGGGAAAATACTATGCACAGTGCAAACAAAGTTACATTTGAAGAATTGTCCCCTAACAAGCAAACAAAAAACACCACCGCTAAATCACTGGTTTCCCCAAATCACTGGCTTTCCTTGTTAACTTTCATTAAAATACCTTAGTATGGAGAACACGTGCCACAGCCTGCTTAGGCATAAGCAAAGCACAGTAAGGTTAAACAAGCAAAACTGATTTGGGGCCAGCAACTGCTACCTGTATACTGAAGTCCATAAAGTAAACCTAAATTAAGCCAGGTTCTCTGGGACAGAGTGCTCAAGTGAAAGAAATTTACTTCCTTGGATTTTGTAAATTGAGAAAAAGAAGGACTTTCACCTCACTATTTGAGGAAGCACAGTTCTAGTGCAACCAGCTTTTGCCTAAACCATTTGACAGACCACTTAAAAGGAAAGCCTGTATGCAAGTATCACACTTTAACATGTAAAATCCAGTCAAAAATCAGGAAGACAAGACATCAGAAGAAGTCAGTAAAAAAGTACAAAGTCTTCACACACACACACACACACACACACACACAGGGACAGAGCTGAGGAAGTAGGTATTTCAGGTGCCATTTCTTGAGTAACACTTTAAAAAAAGAGCACATACTATTACCTTGTTGGGGACTTTCCTGAGGCGCTCCAAGCAGAACTGGTTTTTGTTGATACTTCAGGTTTGTTTATTTTTAAGTATAAAATGCTGAGCGCACACACAGAGGCTTACGTTCTGTGAAGCTGTGAGCATTCTCATGCCACAGGTCACCTAAACCCCATGCTAAAATCACTCTGGTTGGCTCGATATCAGCTTTAAAAATGCGATTAACCCAGTTAATGTTTAAAAACTTACGTTGTTAAAAATATGCCCCAAGTGCCTCAATTCTTAAGTAGAGGAAGCAGCTACTTGTAATGCAGATATTTAGCATTATTCCCAAGCAAAATCTTATTTCAAAAGCAACCGAGACCCTAAATGTCAATACCTTAAGTTGTTTTGTTTTGTTTGTTTTTTATAGGCATGCATAAGAGCAGTAAAAGGGTCTACAGATCTGCCCTACATATTGAACGGGCTGCAAAGATACTCCTATTAAAAAGGCAATTTCAGACCATGCATAAATGTTTTTGGACAGCAATTTTGCAGGCAAATTTCAGGGGAGTGACCAAAACCTTAGCATAGAAAGTGGCATGCTGAGGAACATTTGATGCGCCCGTTTATGAAAGAAACAGCACAGTTAGGTCACTAACCACCACTGCTGAAAAGGTTAGAATTGAAAGAGTGACCTTTGATTAATGGAAAGTTAGGTGCCAGACAAATCACAGGAGGCAGATTTGAGAGACTTCACATTCATAAGATTTTAAGTAGCATTATTGTAGCATCCAATAAATCCATCTTTCACATGTAGTGTTGAATAAGAACTGAGCCCGATCTCTGGTTTAGCTAACAATGCTCAGCGTGTTGAAAAACAAAAAAAAGATGATCTACCATTGTGCTAATGCACAAGAACAGAGTTAGACTGAAGTCTTTTACACAACCCCTGTTCAGTCTGAAAGGAACCATGACACTAGTTATGTACACAGCTACAGTGGTCCGATTCTGTATAAAAAAGCCTCAAGTTCTTGGGTGGGGGGGTCAAAGTAATGCTGCTCCCCCTAAGTCTTCCCAGTAATATTAGTCTAATATTAAAATTAGCACACACTGTGTACACTACTGACAATACAGCTATTCCCCCCCGGTAACACAAGCCCCTTACTAAGGCTTTTTCTACTGGTGAATAGGGCATGTGTCCCAACATAACCATGTAGTGAAACAAGTACTCCTCCAATAACTATTATGTAGTCTCCATCACATTGCTGGCATCCTAAAAGTGTTACCTTCATCCTCTGCGCTGTATAGAGGATGAAGCAGCACAGTCCATCCAAATGATAAAAGTTCTGCAGTGTGCAAGTGAGCACTGTCATGCAGAAATAGCACCAAGACATGTCCGTCAGGTCAGGCTCTTTTTGCATGTGGAAGTTTCAATTTCTTCAGGGTCTTGACAGATCTCCAAGTTGACTCTCATGCAAAACCCCCCTTATTTACATGCCTTAGAGGCAGTATTTTCTGATCAACCCAGGTACAATGTCAGGATGTGTGCCCTTATTCACTAGTGGAAGTCTACCAAAATTGAGGTTGTTGCAAAAAACCTTCTACAGAAGCTTGCTTACACGTTGCAGTTTAATACTTTTGATATTTGGTGGTAGGGGAGGGGGAAAGGAGGTAGCAACTGATCCTCTTTCCTGCAATGAACTACTTCCAGATGGAAAACTTACACACACAGTGAGTGGTAGGGTCTATTCAGGAATGCTTGTTCCATGAGTGCACACAAAACATAGAAAAACAGGATGGTCACACGGCTGCTTACCTTCATGGACTCCGAGTACAAGATGTACTCCCGGAGTACAGGCAGGAAGTCCTCTGTCATGTCTTCACTTAGTTCCTCAAGTGCTGTACAGCAATTGCCGATGCAGGCAGACACACCTTCCAAGGGTTCTCCTAGCTCCACCTCCAACCCACCCCAAGTTGAGTAAACTGGTCCATACTCTCTTAGTTCCACCAAGTATTCTGGGAAAATGCAGACATGGGGGGGAAAAAAAGGGTGGGGGGGAAGGCACAGCAAGTTATTTTTACAGGTACTTTGGTTTAAGAAGATTACTGTAGGCCAACCTTTTGGGTAGAACTGAATCAATTTATACACATTGACATTTACCAATTAGGGTGTGTCAAGTCAGAACTTAACTGCATATTTTATGAAAAGTGAAGGCTTCTTTGTAGATCAACATTAAATAGTTGTCACAATTTACTGCACCCCCCCCCCTTTTTTTTTTTTTTAAATCTAAACCTGGCAACACATCTTTGGCTTGTGTTGTATTAACAGCATCTCTTGTTGGAGGAAAGTATGTACACATGCCAAGAGTCAACTCCAAAAAAACCCATAGATTTCATTGGCACTAACGTCGAGTGCAAGGCCCAGAATTTCTCCCTGCCTTGCTGTTCCCATATTAGGAAAGATAAATTTCTACATGGAACCTACATAGAAGTTAAGGTTAAACAACAAAAAAAAATTTCCTATAGAAAAAAGTTAGGGGATACTTAAAAGGGTCAAGTTAGAGCTTTTTGACCAGACCAGAAGCCAATTCCTTATGCTGTAGTCTTGCAGGCTTGAGACTGATTTTTAGAAGACTTGGGTTGCAAACACCTATCGTGAGATGCTCAACTCAGGATTAAAAAGTGTACACATTAGCCAGAGATTAAGTTTAACACTACTGTAGCCTCAAAAATAAGCATAAGTGGAGTAAACGTTTGGTTTGCCAGAACTCAGTTACAAAAAAACAAAAGCCTACCACACACTAAGTCAAGGTAACTCAAGTTTTAGAAAAAAAAATAATGTATTTACAAGAGTGTACACAGCACAACCATTCAAGTGAAGTGCTAGCCTTCAGACTCTAGTGTCCATTTTTTATTTATTTCTTTAATAGAGGCAGTACTACTGTCAGCAGACAAAAAAAAAAAAAAACTGCTGCCAAGTTACCTGCCCAAAGGAAAGTTCTTACCCAACTGCTCCTTGATAATCCGCTGTGCTATTCGGTCAATTGTTCCAAGCTTTAGAGCAAATATATCTAGATATTCTCCCATGGCTGCAAACTCCAGTGGTCGACTTCTTAGTTTATAGCCTCCTGTGACATATTTGACCGACTCTCCCATCTTGGAGAGCAGTGCCATTCCTTGCTTTTTGTAGGCATTAAGATCCTGGTAAAATGACAAAATACTGTATTTTTAAAACAGTTTGCAGGCAGGAAAAGCAAAATACCATAACTAGTCTAAATCAGGGTATAACCCAGAGCCACTGGATCTAGCCTGACTATGGCTTCAGCAGCAAGGGCTTTGCTCATGTCACAATGCAGCTAGGTGGCAGCAAGAAGCAGAGACCAGGCCTAGCACCAGCCCATGTTGGTCACTAGCTGAGCCATTCCAGCTCACTACTAGAAGCCTTGTTGACCACTGGTCTAAGTAGTCTGCACTTCAGTTAAAAGCACAGGTGATAAAAAAAAGCTTTTGCAAAGGAAGATGTTGGGTCATGAGCTATCAATTCCAGGATCATATGCATTTTTCATATAAACTTTATCAGGATAGGCACTGCTTCAGGAGTATCTGTAGACAGAGGGGTATTTTACATGTGACTGACAGAAGTACTTTCCTACTCACACAAGGCAAATGCCAGCCTAATCCAAGTGTGGTGGCACTGAACACATGGAAAAATTCAGGTCATATAGTACATTTTAGACAAATTTTGGGGAAGCCAAGTCAGCAGGTTCAGTTTATTCCCAGCGCTTTGCAGAGAAAACCACAACAGACCTCGCAGTCCCTGCACCAGTAATATGCAGACAGAACTGGGCTCCTGCAGGCCACCAAGAATGTGGGTGCACAGAACCAGAACATGGCCAAGTGCTCAAGTGATCTCCAAATGCAATGAACCGAGTTAGCCAATTATGACTGCTCTCCTCCCCTTCCAATGGAGAAGAGGGTTGGATAGGATAATATTCAACATGCACTGTGTTAATACAATTCCTACCCAAGTAGGCCATGTTGCCAGGGGGCCCAGGACAAAAGAAAAGAGAAATAAGTTGTTTGTTGCAAGGAGACTCATTATATGGGTCTGGAATTGAATTACTTGTGGTATTCTATGACTATGCACCAAAAGACTGTGCATCCCTTCTCTAGGGGGAAGATGCTTGGATTTAAGCCATGATTATTTTCTCTTTTATTGATATGATGTATTGCAGTCCTTCCAGCAGAGGTCAGTATTTCATGCTTAAACTTTGCTCTAAAGCTTTAGTCTACTAGACTGATGCATATACAAAAAGGGGCAAAAAATTACTTCCTGACCTCTACAAACCAAGACCATAAAGTAACCCTAGTTTTTTCCCCCCAAGTTAGATATCAGGAACAACTCTTACTAGGACAGTGGTGAAACATGTTATCTAGAGCGTTGGTGGAATCCCTGTACCCTCAGAGATTAAGGCCTAGCTTGACAAAACCTTGGCTGGAATAATCTAATTGCAGATAATCCTGCTTTGAGCAGGGAGTTGAACTAGATGACCTCCTGAGGTCCCTTCCTAACCTCATTTTCTATGATGCCGATTCTTACAAATCATAGCTAGAAAAAAAGAAAAACTTTAGAGCTACACACCTTTCAAAATGCATTACTTATAGTAATACAGGCATGTACTGCAACTGTGGAAGAGACAGATCTTGACAAATGTTGCCAAGAAGAGTCATATTGCCTTTCATGCTGAAGATTGCTTCTAGGGCTGTGCCAAATTTCAACAGATGTTTTGTTTTGAAGGCGTTTCAACCTCTAAACCAAAACGAAATGCAAGGCTTTGAGGTGAAACAAGGGCACTTGAAGCGTTTCGAATATTTGAAAGAGTTTAAGCTGGGCTTTCAGGGAAATACAAACTAAGAAGTGGGAGGGTGAAGGACTGCTCTGATAGACATGTGTAGCTGGGCAGTCACTGTGATCCTTCCCTGAAGTCTCTTCCAATCCTAGTGCTCTGGGGGAGGGACAGAGAAGGAGCATAAAAGCAGTGTTTGAAATGAGCTGTCAGCTGTGCCTTTGTCAGTTTGAGCTTTGTCTTCCAGCAGTATCAAGAAGGCTCTCACTTCCTACTTGCTAGTCTGTTGCTAGCAAGTGGGATCCAATCCTTTCCAAAATACCATTTCCTAATCCATTCTTTCCCCAAAATCCTTTTTGTTATTCTTTCTACACAAAATAAATGTTTTCTCTGACACTGCACCGACTGTGCAAGAAAGCACAACGTATATTTATATAGTACATAAATACATACATCACAGAAATGTACAGATTTTCTAGTGCACCAAACATGAAGCGTGCTGGAAAGGTAGGTGGCTGCTTTTCTGGCTGGGGTGGAAGAGGGGGCAGAGGGAGAGCTCCAAGTCGTGCCCCCCCCACCCCCAAACTTAGATGCAGCCTTTTTCCAACAAGTAGCCATGCCACTTCTGCTGCTAGTGGCACCAAGGAGATAACAGCAGCGTCTGCATCCCCTCCAATAATACCTGCCATAACCACCCTGAGAAGCACCATGACAACAAGCAGCACCAGTCTCCTCTACCCCAGTTTCACTTCCCATGCTCAGTCTTCCAGTGCCAGAGGAAGAGCTGGAGTCGGATCCAAGTGCCCTAGCAAGGGAAATTCTAGGGAAGGAGGTGGAATCAGAGTTTGTGCTCCACACTCCTCAAGCTTCCCCTAGAGCCATGTCTCCTTCCCCAGAAGGCACTTCAGAGGCGGCAAGTGGCTCAGCTGAGTCCACTCCTCCTGCTGATGTGCACCTGAGATACCTACTTAAAAGCTAGTGCCAGCAAGGGGTATGAAAACCTACAGGGTTTAGTGGAGTCCATTAGGACCAGTGACAGAGCTGAAGATAGAGGACAGCCTCCCTATTTATTTTTTTCCAACTAGATGCCCGTAGGGTGGAGCTGGCAGTCACAGGGCTCTAGGGGTATTAGGGCCATCTCTACAGACCCTACTCAGTGACAAAGTGCAGTCTCCCAGAAACCCCTGCACCCATCTCCTTGAAACCTGGCAGGCTTCATGGCCTCAGAAGGGGCTACCATCCCTGCCATTTCCATCTCAAATCAGGCAAGACTGCTCACCATCATGTTTCAAAATGGCTGTAAGGACACCAAATAAAGCTCCTTCCATGGGGTGTGGGGGGCTTTAACAAAAAAAAAAAAAAAAAAAAAAAAAAAAAACACAAAATCACACCTTTTTTTTCTGGA